AGCATCCACCCATATGGAGTTTATCCCTAACCCGAGTAGTTTTATTTTCTTTAAAACGAGTCTCAATTAAAATGGTAATCTATGGCTTAATCTCAATGATAAAAGAGATAATCTCCCTTAGCTTTCCAGGTTTATTAAGCCCCCTAATGTTCCATGAATCTAACATGGACTGTAACACCCCGATCTTGTTAAATTATTTTATTTAAATTAATTAGATGATGTGATGTATTTGTGTACGTTAGTAAATCTTTTTTTGTGTTGTGATGCATTTGTTGGAAATTAGAGGCCTTAGAAATTATTGGAGTTAAGGTGATAAGGGTGTATGTCCAAAAGTGTAGAAACATGAGGTGTTGGGAAATAAGTATTAGCATTATTTGTATTAAAATATTAGATTTAATACTATAGTATAATAATTAAATAAATATTATTAGTAGAATAATAAAATTATTATTTTATTTAATTGGGAAGGTTAAGGTTGATATTATGATTTTGGAGTCTTTGGAATAAAATAGAGTTGAGAATAGAGAAGAGAAAAAAAACAACTAGAAAAGTAGAGCAAAAGATCGTAGAAGAGAGAAGAATAGGAAAATGTTAGGGCAAAAAGTTTCACTATAAGAGTAAAGAACCAGCAAAATCCAAGGTAAGGGTGGAATTCTAACACTATAATGGGTTGCATAATGATGGGTTATGATAGTGTTTAGGTTCCATGATTGTGTGTTTTTTATTTTCTCCCTATTTTTCTTTGTGGGGTTTTATCAGTGATGAATTTCCTTGATGCGTTTTGTGTGTAATTGGTGAAATTTGAAGATGTATATTGAATGGAATTGATAGGCAATATTGGTGAATAATTAGTATGATTAGAAGATACTATTTTGATTGGAATATTGGGAGTTGGGGTTTTGAAACAATGATTTTCGTATTCAGAAAAATTGCAGATTTTTGAACTGTGCATCAGGTGTAACCGATTACTGCATGGGAGGTAAGTGGTTACCCTGTGCAAATTTGAGCGAAATTGGCAAAAATAAGAAGGCGTAATCAGGTACTGTATGAGTGGTAATCGGTTACCCGATTGGACAGAAGCGTGGTATTTTGAGTTTTAGGGGTGTAACCGGTTACCCTCCAGGCAGTAACCGGTTACCCTCCTGGCAGTAACCGGTTACCACTGAAACTATCAGATTTTCAAAAATTATAAATTTCATAACTTTTGTCTCAAGTGTCCGTTTGACGCACCGTTTGGACCGATGGAAAGCTAAAATTATTTTTTGTCCTATAAAAATAAATTGGAACACATTAGATAATTATTTGACCAACATTGATGCTCATCTCTGTATATTCCTGAGTAATGTGCCATGATTTGTGTTGTGATTGAGTAAGATAATGTTGTATGAATGGTTCGATTGTTTTGCACGATATATTGCATGATAATGATGATGATGATGGCATGTATTGACGTGACATTGATGATTAGAAATATCAATGTCAATTAGGTTGTTGCATGTCGATGTCGCATGCATTCATGATAAGATGGCATGTATCGACGAGAGATGACCTGTATTGGCGAGAGATGGCTTGTATTGGCGTGATGATGAGGGCTTATACTCTGTTACTGCCCTAATTTTGCATTATGATAAGGGTTATACCCTAATGGTATCACATGCATTTGAGTTGGTGTCGGTCTCATCACATTACATTATTATTAATAGTTTGATGTTTTTGGATCTTGAAGAAGTATGAATTATATCATGATGGATGTTATGTGTTGTTTGTGTAACTGATTGTATATTGATGTACCTTGTGGTATGATGAAGGAAGAAAAAGTGTGAGGAAAAGAAGTATAATTATGCGTACTTAAATTGCTATCTACTCGTTATTATGCTTTCTTTTGTATTGCTATGATATCTCACCCTTCTGTTTGAATGTTGTCTCTACGTGGATAACGTGCAGATGACCAGGAGTAATCTGAGTTACGGAGTCTAGAAGAGGTTTCTCTTCTTATTTTGAGTAGGCGTCAGTGCTCTGATATGTAACATTGGGGAGGATGAACACTTGCTTATTTTTGTTATTTTGTTGTTTTATTTTGATGATTATGTTGGAGTATTATAAACTCTCATTTATTTGATTAAACGTTATTTGATGTTGGTTGAAGATATTTTGATGACAAACGTGATTTCTTTTCTGCTGCGTTAATAAAGTTGAAATTGAGAACTATGTTGAAAAATATTGTTGTTCATCCAAAAAATATATTATGTATCAATTCAAATATGCACGAAAAGGTTTTTAATATATTGTAGAATATGGCATCCTATTCTTGATATTTTGTTTTTATGAATTAATTCACTTTGATTTTATTAATTTACCGATGGAAAAATATGGTGTTACATGGACCCCTATCATGGGCTCCTAGCAGGCCATTCAAAGCCCCTAGTGCCTCAAACCCATTCAGACAATGCACAACATTAAAGGATTCAACATACGCAGTACCTTTTCCTTTTTCTATAGCTGCTTTCCTCGCTTTGGTCCAATTATCTTCTTCTTCATTAACCTTTGGGTTTCCCATCTTAGGTGTAACAACAATCTCTTGCACCTGCTTCACTTTTGGTTTCTTTTCCTTTGGCTTTCATATTTCCGTTTTTGGTGCTTCACCACATTGGTGTCCCACACGCTGACATTTATCGCAATACTTAAATTTTCACTTGTATTCTATCACTTGCTTCATCTTTCTCCCAACATTATCTTTGATCGTAATTTCGTAACAACTAATATCAACTTCCATCAAAATCCTAGCATATGAGACTCGTAGCTTGTGCGTTGTGCACTCATCTATGACCAGTGGTGCTCCTATAGCACTCTCATTCTTGTTGAGACTCATTTCTCCCCATAGGTGTAGGGAAAATTGAGGCAATTTTACCCAAATAGGGAGTGTTCTTAACACACCCTTCTTTAGATTAAAATTCAGTCTCCATTCTTTCAAAATCATCGGCATATTCTTTATCATATACATGCCTTTCATCAACACAGCATCCATGTCATCATGAGATTTGAATCGAATGAGAAAGTATCCTTCATCATAATAGTATAAATCTAGCCTTCACCATGAAGTTCCTCATTGCGTGCATACTTATCTCTTCTCCAAGGATGTACACGATGAGTGCATTTTCCCAAAATTGCAGCTCCGACGCAACATCATCTTCATCAATTTCGATATTGATTTCTCCATTAATCACAGTAGGCACTACTAATCACAATAGGTGCTACGTACGCCATAGCCCTCCCTTTGGCTGGATTTCTGTTCTCACTGAGAACGTCAACCCATAACTTACGAGGTTCCACATTCTCTTTCGTATCTGTGTTTCCTTCTATCTCAGGTTTTTAACCCATCATCATTCTAACATCCAGTTTCTCTAATTCCATAACCGGTGGCTGCACCAGCGAGGCAGGGTTCTTCGGTACCAGAGACACTGTGATTTTCAGACGTGACCTTAGTTGCCGTTTCGCTCCCATCATAGAGTAAGGAAAATTTTAGAAAATTGACGTGACCATGATCAGAATTATTGTTCTCTAGGTAAATAAAGAACAAAATATCCTTTAACTTTTTAAATGCAGCATTATAATCAATCCTCTTTGTCAGTTATAAACCAAGATATGGCAATTGACTTGGGAATATAAGGAATACGAAATACATAAAGAAACATGTGAGGACTGAAAACTATAAGAATCGTCGTTTATTAATAAATAAAGAACGATCAATTTCATTTTTAAAAAGATTATGACAACACTATAATAATTATAAGAAGTCTATACTACCTTACAAACAATATAACAAGATAAGACACAAATACAATCATAGAAGATTCAAATAGTCAAATTCCGATTCGCAGCTTCACTAATGCACATTAAAGACACATGAAATATAACAGAATATTTTAAAAGAACAAAAAGCTAGCACCAATGCAAAACAGGAGATATACATAATCATCAAAATTTAAACAAGCACACAAAAAGTTCAATAGTGGCCAGTGGATTTAAACTGTAAGGGCACCAACTCTTTAGAGATTCGCTTTTGGTTTCGTAAATAACGATTTTCCGGAACAAGTCAGAATTTGCCAAGGCGTGGCAAGCAAGTGATGTTTGACGATCACTAGATTACATTCTGTCTTCTCTCCTTCTTGGAGTACAAGTTATGATTTCATCAACTCTTAGGATCATCTCAGCTGCCTCTGTCGCAGATAGCAATACAGCTTGCTTGACTTTGAATGAAATACACTTCTAAGTATTTAGAAGTATGCAGAGAAGTTTATATATCAGAGTTATTTTTAGACTGAAGTTTTTCTACAAACAAACCAAAGGATAAAACCAACAGTGCATACACTATTGGTAGGGAAGTCACTGTTTTCCTTTAGTCTAATTACAGCAACCACAGCTAATTTGGCAAAATATTATGGTCATAAAAAAACTTTTGGTTGGTGATAACAACCTGAACAAAATTAGGAAAAAAAAGCTTCTAGGTTGGGATGATTGCCCAAGCCCAAAAGACGGTTGCAGGTTCTTGATGATCACTAGAGTCCAGAAGATGGTTGTGGGTTTTCGATGCCACATACAAGATGCTTGTGTTTAAGCTGACAGTTTCCACTCTCACTATATTATATACACTAATACACAGATATTCACATATCCATGCAACGAAGACAAAAAAATTCTCCAAAACATACTTTTTAATAATATAGAAGAGTTAACAATAAAATCACCTTGTGATCAGCAGAAATATATACTATTCAATTATGTTAATGCATCAATCGGAAAGAAATCCATATTAAGCTCGCATTAAAAAAAGCAAACATATTTTTACCTAGTCAAAACCAAAGACTGAACAAGTGTGTCCTAGCATTATTATACACACGGCAATCTGAATTAAAACTAAACCATCAATGACTAATTTAATGAGAGCCGAAACATAACTTACAAGAGCACCATGGTAGCACGTTCACCGTAAGCAAAAATCATCACGCAAGAAATAATTGAAGCTCTGGATGAACCTTATTCAGCTTCATCAAAAGTTCATTACATTTAACGCTATCTCCTAAGGATGAAGGTTGTGAAAATTTTGGAAGTATCTTCTTTATATCAATATCTTTTGGCATGTTACAAAGACAACCTAAGATGGTAGAAGTTAATTTGGAGTCCAGAATAACATCTTTATCTGCCATTTCTTGAAGCATGGAAATAACCTTTTCAGTCTTTCCCTTTATACTGTAGCCCTTTAGCAAAGAATCAAATAGCACAGCATCTGGTACATGACCACAGGAGACCATTTTGTCGTAAAGCAATGTGGCCTCCTCCAACTTCCCGAGTTTTAAGAACCTGTTAATTAACGTAGAAAATGTAATATTGTCTGGGACCAAATCCATGTCAAGCATCTCTAATAGCAATTCCTTGGCAGATTTAACATCTCCCGCTTTAAGGGTTCCATCAATTATTATATTAAACGAAACAACATCAACATCAACATCGTGATTCACATTTTTCATTTCTTGAAATAAACTCCTAGCCTGCTCCAAACTACTTTCTTTGCATAAAGATGCCATTAGTGTATTGTATTCACTTACTGTCGGTGTAGTTCCAGAAGCTCTTTTTTTATTGAAAAGTCCTTTTGCAATGCTTAGCATTTGCATTTTGCAAAGACCATTAATGAAGACAGTATAGGTCATTGAGTTGGGGGAAATTCCCAAGTCTACTGCATGTTTCCATAATTCTAATGCCTTGGTAAGCTTTCCAGCACTTAGATAACCGTCAATCAAACTATTATAAGTAACTATGTTACCTTGTAACCCTCTTTCAACCATTGTAGAATAAACCCTTTTGGCATCATGAAGACGCTGTTCTTTGCAAAGTCCTTGAATTACCAAATTAAACGCGAAGACATCAGGCTTTATATGAAACTCCTTGCTTAATAATACGTTCAAAAGGTCCATTGCCTCATCAATTTTTCCAACACCACACAATCCTTTCAATAACGTGTTGTAGGTAACCACATCAGGTTTCTTCCCCTTCTTCGCCATAGTTTCCAAAATCCCAAGTGCATCATCAACCCGTCCTTTCTTACAAAGTCCATTAATGACAGCATTATACGTTACATTACTCGGCTCTTCTCCCTTTTGAACCATCAAATCCAACACTTTAACCGCATCAGACGCCCTCCCGTTTCTACAAAGCCCATCAGCCAAAACCGTATACGCAACAACATCAGGACGAATCTTAGAATCCGTCATATCATGCAACATTCTGGAAGCTTCCTCCCACCTCTTTTTCTTACAAAGAGCATGCATCAAACAACTATAAGTAACAACATTCGGAGCAACATTCTTCCTCAACATCTCATTAAAAACTTCCTTCCCCCTCTCAACATCACCTTTCTCACAAAAGGCATTAATGAAATCACTATACACAAAAACATCAGCCGCCAAACCCATCTTCTCCATCTCCTCCAACAAACCAAAACTCTCCTCAACATCCCCATTCTTACAAAACCCGTTAATCAAACAACTAAACGTAACCAAATTCGGTTTACAATTATAATCCACAATCTTCATCTCCTCAAACAACTCCCTAGCTTCAACCAATCTCTTATCTTTACAAAGCCCATTAATAACAGTATTATAACTAACGCTATCCGGCAAAACACAGTTCCTTTTCATCATACAAAACAAATCCAGAGCCTTATCACAATGACTACCATGACTACCACCTGTTTGACAAAAGCCCTTTAACAAAAGGTTCATGTTATAGACATTAACATGAAAGCCACGCTTTATGATCAAGGCTAAAACACCAAGAGCGAAATCTGGTTTCTGGGTATTGACAAAACTTTCAATTAAAGCGGATAAAGAAGTGAAACATGGGAAAACGGAAACACTGACCATTTTAGAGTGAACGGAGATTAGAAGGTTGTATTGTTTTGTTTTACGGAGGTCGGTTATGAGAGTGTTGCAGGATGAATAAGAGGGTGGTGAATTGGGGTATTGTTTGAGAGAAAGGTGGAAGTGAGAGAGGGAGTCTGAAAGGGAATAAGGGTGATTGGGGTTGTTAGGTTGGGGGGTTGAGGAAGATGATGAAGAAAAGTGAAAGGGTTGAAGAGTGGTGGGAATGGAGAAGGTGGAGTGAGGAGGGTGAAGGAGGCGCTTTGATAGCATTGTTGTTGGTAGGCGGTGAGGTTATCACGGCGGAAGGGAGAAAAGTAGGGAGTGTGTGCACGAACACCACAAGCCCAAGTCTCAACACGATGGTTTTTTGTTGCTCTAAACTCTGGCCCACGCATATAAAAATACAAATAGTGGAGGTGAAGATCTCTCCATTTCTCTTTCTACGTAGCTAAATCTATGTGAAGAAAAGTAATATATTCTGCAACCTCCTCGGATTATAGGATATCAAGAGGCATAAAACTCCTCCTCACAGTTCTGGAGGATGCCGAGGTAGACATGTTCCTCCTGAGGAATAAGTAGAGAAATCGCCAGTGAAGAATCTTCGTAAATAACCTCTTTGTGCATGTATCATATACAACCAAATACCAAAGTCATTAGAAAAAGCTCTAAAGCTGGAGTACGACATGAAAGAAGATCTCGACGGGCATATATAACATGTTCACATTGACTAGGCATCAAAGTATAAACTATTTACACTAACACTAACAAATTTTTCCAAACTCTAGTTCAAATCTCTACTAGACGAGAGCATTGATTTACAAATCGACTTGTGAGAGAGCTTCATCACTCATTTCACAATTCGGAAAAGGAAATTGATGACAATAGTTATACTCAGCGGGATAACACGTGGGAATAAAGAGAGCTTACGGTCGTACATCAACTATTTCATGCAAGTAGTTCTGGAAGTAGAGGAGTTGAAGAGGGTCATAAGTGTTGGATCTTTTAGAACGGTCTAAGGAGAGATAAATCCTTTATGGAGAAATTAGGACATATGAGGCTCATAGTTTTAAATAGATGCAAAATAATGTGTAACCCTTTATTAACCTAGAGGGAAAACTTATCGTTCAAATTGATAACTAGTCAGCAAGAAGTGTAGGTTTCGGTCGATCATCGAGATAGCTTCTTCAAGATAATTTGATTTGAGAGGATAAATATATAAAACATGTTGAGCATCTTTTACCTCTTGAACCATCTTCAAAAGCTAAGGACTTCATTGGATATCGTTTAATATCAAGTGTTTCCATCATCAAATTAAATATCTAATCAGTTGACAACAACTTTTACTATATCAACAAACTTCACTATCTTGGATCACCTTGACAACCGACTGCTAATACTGGTTTGCATTTTTTATTCGGAAATGTCGCGGTAAGCAAGAGTCGCCACCGACTTTTCTTTTATCCAACAAAGGAAAGGGTGAAAGGAATAGAAAAGGACATTTTTCGATATTTTCTAAGTAAGGGGGGTAGATTATGGAAAGGGAATGTGTTAGCACTCTTTCCATCTGTGGTTTTCCACGGGCTCTTAGGTACTTGCTCATTTTGAAAACTGTTTGTGTTTGTGTGTTTTGAAAGTTCTTGTTTGCTTCATGGTAACTCATGTATCAGTCCTCAAGAGTGTGATAAAGCATTTTTTGAAAAGATTTTTAGAAGTGTGTAAGTGTGAAAATTTCAGATTTTGAGCAAGTACTTAAGAGTTATCTACCTACTCGAAAAAAAGGGTGTTCTTTTCCTCTTTTCCTTTAGATAGTGTTATCCTATTATTAGTGAGTAGGTAACCCATCGTCGGATGTTGAGGGACTATCGAAAGGGACGCTATGGTCATTGAAGGCAACATGTAAGGATATCTTAGTGTTTGAAGGGACTGTCATCATATAGGCAACATCGAGGGACAAGATCATTTCTCGTAGGCAACTTGAGGGACGTTAAGGGACCATGATCTTTATGATGACTTTTAGATTAAGGGTCTTTGCTAAGATATCCCTACGTTCGAGGGACATGACTATTGTTTTCCGAGGCAACCACGTGAGGGATATCATAAGGGTGCAAGTGTGAAATAGTGTTTTTTTCCAGATATTTATCTTGAGATTAGTGATCTAAAGGTTAATTGATTAATCTTGTCATGCACACCTAAGTTACTAACAATTATATACAAGCATATCAGAATATTAAGAGCGAGAAATAAAAGTTCCTACGTTATTACATGCCTTTGGTGTAGATACATAAGTAATGGACTGAAAAGTAAAATGCGAAAATAAAAAAAAAAACCTAATTTAGCTATTACAAACCGGGCACAGTTACATAAATGATAAAAAATAATTGTACGAAAAAAAGTAATGACGCGCAAAAATTAAAATGGAAAAAAGTTCTAACCCCTAGAAAACCTAATTGTTTATTAAAAAAATATTTTTTGTATTTTATGAAAAAATTAGAAGTTTAACCTAATTCTCTAATTAATTTTAATTTAAAGAAAATAACTTAAAGTTAATTAAATTAATTAATTTACAAAAAATAATTTATTAAAAAAAACTAAGTCCTAATTTTTTTTGTGATGATTTTTAGATTTTTTTTGATTTTATGATTTAAAAAAAAAAGAACAAACAAAAATAAATAAACTAAATAAAAAAACATAAAGAAATTAAAAATGAGAAATGGGTCTGAAAGAGGGGTGTGAAATCCAGACTGGGGGGTGAGATTGTTGAATTGTGCCAAAGTTCAGTTCTTGTGGCCCATGCTCACGCTGGATCCAATGTTGTTGTGGTAGGGAGGTCCACCATGGGGAAACGTTTCTGGGCGTCAGACCTGGTACTAGATGGATCCAAAGGTGATGAGAATGTGACACATGGTGCGCACCTGGGAGTGTAATGTACTGGATCTGCAATTACAAATTAAAAAAATTATATGCAAGAGGCAAGGGTCAAACCCCTGACCTCTCATACATACAAAGTCTTAAGTCCTTCACTCTTGCCATCTGTGATGCCTGGTCATTCATACATATAATAACAAAATAACATTATAAGGGAAAACAAGACCACGATTGAGTTGTCAAACACCCGCCAAAAAGTGGGGCCCTGGAATTTTAAACAACCAATCAAAACATGTTAACCTGCCACACATGGTCCTCGCCTGGGTCAGAGAAGTCAACGACGCCGGAGCACAACAAAACTTGGATCTGCAAAAATACGCAGAATTAAAGCCCCAAATTCAGGCTACCCCCTATTTCACATGCTACGAATTCAATGGTGATGGCCATTTGGCTTGGGGAGGTCTGTATCACCTTGTTCGTCCCTTGGCCATTTCCAAGCCCTAACCATGGCAACCTACATTCTAAGCTTCTAGCTTTTCATGTAGCACGTTAGAACGATTTAAAACAATCATATGAACACAAATATGCACGCATAATTCATTTATATTGTGTAATAATAGGATTTGAATTCAAGAATTTTTACCAAATCGATGATGCTTGAAGGAGGTATTTTGGGCACGATTTGGCTTGGCTAATGCGTGAAGATGACTCCTGGGACCTTCAGGAGGAATATTGGCTCCTTTGTTTTGATCAACAAGTGCTGGAATTGGTGCTTTTGAGTTTCACAATTTCTTGAAATTTTTGCAAATTTGTATGACTCTCTTTGTGGTTGTTGTGTTCTCTCTCTTGACCTAGGGTTGTTCTGCTTATGTAGTGAATCAGAATAGGGTTACAAATGTGGAAAAATCCAATGCCTTGAGTGCAAGAATATGAGTTTTCAATTTATATAAAAACTTGTTATTTCAAGAAAATCTCTCTCCTTTTGGTCCCATGCGTTTTTGCTTGATCATGCCTGTTGTACCCCAAAATTTTCCCTCTCATTTTTCAAGGATTTTCTCACAAGGATTCTCAAGGTTCAAGCTTGCACAAAGTACATTGTGATTTTCCAGCACCAGAATTAAAAGGAAACTGTCAGAAAGGTGAGAAAACAGATAAAAATAACATTTTGACAAATTTGGAGGAAAACAGGACTCCTTCGACTCAGCCCTTCGACTGGACAAACGTGCTGCCTACAAGCCTGCTTCGACTGGACAAATCTGCTGCCTACAAGCCTGCTTCGACTTGGACAAGTTTACTTCCTACAAGCCTGCTTCTACTGGACAAGTCTTCTACCTGCAAACATGCTTCGATTGGGCAACATGCTTCCTTCGAACACGAGCTTTCGATTGGACAATATGTTTGCTTTAATCCAAGCTTAGACTGGGCATTAGCTTCCTTCATATTAGCTTGTTTGACCACAAGCTTCGACTGAGGCAAAGGCTTCCTTCGAACAGGTATGCTTCGATCTCACTCTTGCATTCGACACAAGACCAAATCTCGTTTGCTAGGCTATATTGCATCCAAATCTTTACGTAATCAGAGGCTTGTACAAGGGTTTTAAACTTTGTCATTTGGATAATACTATCTTTGGTTAAAGGCTACATACCCTTTCTTTTCATAGAAAGTACTTTTATCACAAAAGCAGCTTTTCACCTGAATTTCGTCTGAATGAAAAGCAGGGCCAGAGGCACAAGTCTAATCAACTGCCAACAGGCCCCCTCACTTGTACCTTTCACGTTACCTATTATTTTATTATTTTGCAAGGTTGGCTATTGAAAACATGTCCATTATTTTTCTCTATAAATAGAGGAATTTTTGCAAAGCTAAGGGAGGATCTTTGGACCAGAGGAACGAATCCCCCAAATTTTCTCAAACACAATAAAATTCTCAAAGTTCATCAACACTTGAGAAATCACAAAAAAACCCAGAATCATATTCATCTCCTTCGACTTTGAAGAACACCCCACACACAAAAGTTTGTTCAAACTCAAAGATAACCTTCTGTGATAACTCTTCGAACCAAAAGCAAACCCCCATGTGACTACTCTTCGAATTCTAGAAACGTCCAGGTAGCAGTTAAAGTTCGAATCCCACATCCATTCAAGGCCTGAAGCAAGGTAAGATATTCTTATCTTTGAACTTTTCGTTTCATGGCATAGTAATTTTCCCTTTCGTTTAAAACATGTACATACCATTGTTCCTTTCTGTTGTACCCCAAAATTTGCCCTCCCATATTCTTCAAGAATTGCAAAAAGCATGCTTCAAAATCTCCCCAAGGGTTGCACAGTTCAAGGGCCTCCTAACAGTCAAGAACTAGGGTTTTGGTTCTGACAAAGAAATTGAAGTTTCCAAGGGTCCAATCAAGT